GGAAGGGAGAGATGAGGGGAGGCTCTGCACAGCTGTGGGGCCACAGAAGGCGGGATCGGAGATGACCTCCACCATGGCCTGGTCCCCGCTCCTCCTCAGCCTCCTCGCTCACTGCACAGGTGACTGGATGCAGGGACAGGGGAAGGGGCCCTGGGAGGACTTGTGGGACCCTGCTTCTCCTCTTGTCTCAAAACCCTAGCATCACCCTCTGCGTGTCTCTCCCCCTTGCAGGGTCCTGGGCCCAGTCTGTGCTGACTCAGCCGGCTTCCGTGTCTGGAGCCCTGGGCCAGACGGTCACCATCTCCTGCAGCTCCATCAGTGGTAGTTATGTGAGCTGGTACCAACAGCTCCCAGGAAAAGCCCCCAGAACCATCATCTATGGTAATAACAAACGACCCTCTGGGGTCCCGGATCGATTCTCTGGCTCCAAGTCTGGCAACTCAGCCACCCTGACCATCACTGGGCTCCAGGCTGAGGACGAGGCTGAGTATTACTGTGCATCGGGTGACAGCAGTAACTATGCTCACACAGTGCTCCCGGCCTGTGGGGAAGTGAGACAAAAACCTGCTGTCCCTCAGCAACAGGTCTCCCTGTGCAGCTCCCCCTCCTTGGCCACGTCAGCTCCTTCCTTTGTTTGGTCTAAACTTTAGTCTGAACTAATCTCAAGGAAGATTGGCTACAAAATATTCCAAATTCTGTTAAATTTAGCCCCTCCAGGCTCTCCTTAGCAGGAAGACATTGTTTGGTTTTCTCATATTGAGGAGAAACTCCTGGGTGCCAGGGGCAGGATCCCCGGGGACAGAGTCTGCTGATGAGGGAAACAAAGGCAGGAGAAATGTCACTTAAAGTCAATCTCCTCCAGCTGCAGCCCCTGACAGACACCTGACCCATGCGGAGTGTGAGCTTCCGCAAGGACCTCATGGGTGCCTTAGTGCCCTCATGCGTGTGTTTTATTAAAGACCTAAGTATGCTTGTCTTCACAGCAGCTAGCCCCTCGATTCCTGAAAGCCTGGCTTCCATATTCCTTAGAGACTTACACTATCCCTCACCTCCACTAATTATAAAGTATATAATCAGTGCTCCTTGTGAGGAGTGAGCTTTCTGCCCATGGGTCCTGTCCCCGGGCTATAGTAAAATCATCTTTTTTCAACTTTCAATGTCTCAAGAATTCCTTTTTGACTATTGGGCTACAAAATCCCATATAATGGTGATGGGTCAAGATAGAACCAGAGACAGGGAGTCCCCCTGTGTCCCACTGCAGATAGAGCCCTGTCCAGAGAGTTTGCATTCACTCCACTTACTGAGCACCTACCATGTTAGTCGAGGGATGTGGGCCATATGTGGACATGACAGGAAGGGTGTGCAGGCTCAGGGAGCTGACAGCGTGTGGGGGAAGAGAGAGGACACAAGCT